ATGTGCCCGGGAGGTATCCCCAGCTGAAGGAGAAAGAGAAGTCCCCTACTTAACTATGGCATGTGGCAATTCAAGCAAGTGCATCTTCATGGGTTGAAGAAAGCAGCATGTGCCCCTGCGTGTGGAAATAACACATCCGGCCCTGCCAGGAGCCACGTACATGAAGGAAGTGAGACTGCACATGAGGGAAGAGCACCCTGAGCTAAGGGGCTGCTACTCCCATTAGCCAACAGCTCATTTGTAATCGAAAGAACCTGCCGTGACAAGCAGCAGAGTGCTCATCCTGTGCCAGCCGTTACAGTGCTACCCAAACGAGACTGCGAGGACAGCCCGCTCAGGCAGTGCCAGCCTGGGCTCAGTTAGGACACCCCTCAGGCCACAAAGCCCGAATGCTGCCTACACCCACAACCCCAACACAAGGCCTGCCAACTGCAGCCAGCCTCTCTGGGGGGAAAAGCATCTTGCAAAGTTTTAGCCATAATCCAAGCAGCAACAGCTGTAATAGGTCCTATGCTGCCGGTGACATCAAACAGGCCCGTCTGCATGTGCCGAGACACTGTACCCCACCACAGGGGTGCAGAGGAATCACAATGCCATTTTGGGAACAGGCAAAGGCATGTTAGGCATTCCAACTGCACATCCAAACCCCAACCCAACTTCCAGCAAGCCCTGGGTTAACAAAGCACGAGGGTCAACGAGCCAATTCCCTTAGGCTGTGGCATGCTGAGTGTTGATATGCTAATGCAGGAGCCAGGGGCCGGACAAAAGCAAGGAGACTGCAGCCCCAGCCTCTGGCTCCAGGGAGTCTGCAGAAGCCCCCCCCACCCAGGAAGGGGCTACTTGCCATCACAAAAGGGAGAGGTTCTGCAATACAATGCTGTTCTGCAACACAATGGCCTGTAGGCAAGTTCCTGGAAGAGGGTCTAAGCAGAAACTGAGGTGATGAAGCAGACAAAAAAAGGGGGAAGGGCAGGGGTGTCTTTGCAGTCTGCAACATCTGCTCAGACCAGCCAGACCAGGGCAGGCAGGGGTAGGGTTCTAGCAGCCCGGGTGCCCACATCATGTTATCATCACAGAACCATCTCTCATAGAAGGGACCTCAAGAGATCACCTGGTCCAACTAGGGATCAAACCTGCGACCTTGGAGTTATTAGCATCCCACTCTAACCAGCTGACCGCAGCACTCCCTCCCTCGTGGGGGTGCTCACGAAGAAGTTCCAGCCAACACGTAGCTGGGGCTGTTCCAGGAGAGCAGGACACTGGCTAAGGGTGACCGCAGCATGGCTATGGGCTGGTGGATTTAACACAGAGTTTAGACCTTTACTGACACACACAGAGGGAATCCCAGTGCTGGCCACAGGCTCCCAACATGGCTTAGATTCCCAGTCCCCACCAGAGCCCCCATAGGGGCAGCTCAGTCTGTTCAGTCCTGCTGCGACCTGGAGACTGCGCCAAAGAGGGACAGACGGGTGGCTGTTGCAGACACTTTCCAGGAGCACATTGCTGAGGGTGCTAGCAAAGTCATGGGGCTTCCTCCATGGGAAAGAGAGGGTCCGTGTCCCCATGCTGTCCCCCAAGGGACCACACCAGACTCCCTGGGCATGGATCCATGTACACCAAAGACCACAGACTTGAACCCATCCTACTGGGTGAAGGAGTTTGAGACACCAGCCAGCTACTGGAGAGCCACTTCCAGGGGTCAGAATCATCTGTGAAGCCCCTGGCACAGGGCAACTCCTTTGTCACTCCCAGATGCCAGGAGCAGAGCCCAGAGGACAGAGCCAGGGTCCTGGAAATCAGGACTCCAGGGTTCCAGCGCCAGCTCCTGGAAGGATCAGGCCCCTTAACAGAGAGGCTGGGTTCTGCAGAGCGCAGCCCAGGACAAGCATGTGCTCTGTAACACAGGAATATCAATACCACTTCCCCATGCCCAGGATGCAAGTCCAAGTGTCTCTGCCCCGAGCACACGCCAAGCCCCTGCACCAGTCTCCTACCTTCCCATTAGCTCGCGTTGCCCCAGGGCACAGCGGGTTGGACGGGTCATAGCGGGGCACATCCTCCTGCACCGGCTTCTCCCCCTGCCCCTGCCAGGGGCGCTTCATCCTGTGGGCAGACACCAGGACCCAGTCGTCCCGCAGAGGGTTGTAGCGGATGTGCTGGTGCTCTGGAAGGGAGAGCAGTGTCGTGAGTGGGGGAGTGGAGCTGCTTGAATACATCATCCCCCGGTGCTGCTAGAGCTGTTGGACACAGCAGAAATACAGAGACCCCCCACCCCAAACCTGCCCAACTTCACCCACAGCCCAGCACGGGTTCCCACTGCAATCTCAGCACAGGCCAGGCGCCAGGACTCCTGGGTGGTCTCCCTGGCTCTGCCACCAACTTGCCACATAACCTGGGGCAAGTCACTTAGGCCCAGGCTCAAAATATCAGCCAGAGACCTACACAGAGGGAGTCTCCAGCAGGGTTCACTGGCTTTCACCTTCCTCCTACCCCACACCTCAACATAGGGCTGTCTTCCAGGTAAGCGCCAAGCCTCTCCACCTGGCAGCCTGCTCTAGACACTACGCCTGGCACTGCCAGCACAAGCAGGGAGGCTTCAGTCACCTCACACTGCTCTCCTCTGGGGGTATGTCCGTGCTGCAAAGGTGCATGGGCCCATCAGCCAGAGTGCGGGACCTGACTCTGTGGAGCTGGGGGCAGGTTACTGGTGGTGAACAGGGTTTTAGGCCTGAAGGGCAGAGTATAATTGTTCCCACCCCGCTGGGTCTGGAGACACAGCTAGGGGCGAGGGGTAGGGCAGGTACTCCGCTGAGAAGGGGAACAAGCCAGAGCAGCAGAGGAGCAATGCTGGGAGCTGCGCAACACAGCAGCGGGGCTGGCACCCCAGTTCCTCAAGTCCTGAGCACAGCAGGCAGCCATGCAGGATTGCTGCTGGGGAACAGGGCTGGGTGAAGGATGTGGGGGCAGCGGGGAGGGCACAGCACCCTCGGGGGGTCCCCAGAGGTCCCCTCTAATCCAAGCCCAACCTGAGGCAGGATCAACCCTATGCAAACCAGCCCAGACAAACCCACTGCCCAACCTCTGAGCACAAAGCCGGCCCCAGGCATCGCCCCCGACCCTGCCCAGGGAAAGCAGGGGGGCCGCGGCCACCAACGTCCTGCTGCTGCAGAGAAAAGGGGGGTCACAGACACCCACAGAATCACAGGCAGTGGTGGGAGGTCCCTGCCAGGGGGCCACAAGGGAGCTCAGCAAGTCCCATCCAGTCCAAGCAGGACCAGCCCCAGCTCCATCATC